GAGAGAGAGAGAGAGCAGTGAGCACATACTGCACTGTGTCAACGAGGTGGAGGGAGAGGAGGATGACAGAATGGAGAGCAGACGCAAACAATGACTGGGCACAATGTCCTCCGTGTTCAGAAGGAGCAACGTAACAGCAAAGGAGAGAGGACTGAGCAAGAAGAGTGCAGTATCCACTAACAAGAACACTAGTAGCAGACAGAGTCTCTCTCTCTCTGTTACTACAAGATCACACAAAAAAACACAACACAGAAAACATAAATATACTCACCTTCGTCCATAAGATTTCCAAATAAGGCTTTCGTCTTCTCTTGAAATGTGGGGACCTCTGAAAAGAGAAAAAAGAAAGCAGAAGGTTAACAGGCTGGGAATCGAACCAACGCATCGCCCCACAACAGTAGTAAGTGAGCTCAACACGCAGTACTCTGTGGTACACAAACATCTTCATTGGGCGGTCAGAGTGCTGGCCTGTGATGATCACACACACTCAGTCAGTCCACACATCAGCAGCTCTGATTTAGACCATGACACAGTCCGGTGTTCACAGCGGCCGGCACCACACCAGGAAGGGCACGGCCCATCTTGTGTACTTCATAGATTAAGCAATGCTCATTGAAGGCATTTAAGTCACTTACTGCGCCGCTAATGCAACGCAGATTAGAGCAGACATGGATTGGTACTGCGCCGTCTGCCGGCTCCACACCGCTTCCCCCGTTCATTCATATTTCATACAGCAGTTAAAGCTCCACCCACCACTTCAAGTCTACTGTGTCGGGCTCACAATACGCTGAGGCATCATTTTCCAGGAGTGAACTCTGTCCACAGTCTGAACGTTCACTTTATATGAAATCATTAAAGGACAGTGTTCATTTAAGTCCTAGATTTTGCTCAGATATGTACATAATGTATAAATTACCACACAGCTCCCAGCAGCCTAATAAGATCTGTCCTTAGTATTTTGTATATTAGTCATTAATAGTACAACTTTAAAAAGCAGGTTTTATTTATGATCAGACTTTAAAGTGTCAGTGTCAGCCACTGCAACAGACAGCTGCTGCAGAGAAGCTGCTCTTACAGACACAAACATTAACCGACATCATGTTACTGCTTCCATCCCTCTGAAGTGGAAACACAATGGTACCTAAAACCCAGAACCAGTCCAAGTATTAAGTGCATATACAGTCCACACCATAAGATCAATGTCGCAAGTTCTGTACGTGAAGAGTGATGAACCCTGAGGAGTTTCCTCTCTACGACAGTTTCAAACACACACAGCAGACAAATGGATGTTTTCTACAACCGGATATTCATTTAAGAAGACACATGGTCCAATCATGTGACTGAGGCAGTACTGGAGCAGAAATAAGGTCGCCGGCCGCTGTGACTGTCTGCAGCACGACTTCAGAAACCTCCGCGGTCCACATGGAGACGAAGAGCGCTGAAAACTGCCAATCCCATTAAGCACTTCCCAGATCCTGATGCATTTCATCGCTCACGTGTCCTAAAAACGATGACGTCGTTCCAAAAACGCGCTCACTAAAAAAAAGGAAGAAGCACATTAACATCCCTCCCGGACAGAAAGGGATAAACACGCACATTTGCATCCGGGTTGAAGTGCATCTTTGTGATACAGATGGTTGAATCCGGCAGATCTTACTGCTGGTCAACACAAAGATGCTGCAGAGGGAAGGAACTGTACTCCAACTCTCTATTGTTTCAGTTGTTATCACTCTCTAAGCTACCAAAACTTCCTGCGGTGCACTAACGAGCAGGGTGTGTTATTAAAGGAGAACCGTCTATATCTATGTTACAGCCAATATAAACAGAAGGGCCTCAAGCACAGCTTCACTACAATGTATTAACCATAGCTAGTGTGTACCATGTGAGCCCAAAGTCAAAGAAATCCAATCTGAGACTGAAAACTGAGATGTAATAATTCCTCCTGACAATACACTGACAATTAAGAACCCAATTCCTAATGTATTCAAAGGTTTAAGATGGCTGTAACTTTGAAAGACATGTGCTTGGGTTGTCCTGTTTGGATGTCTGAAACCCTAACACCCCCCCCACACACACACAGCACTTACAGTCAAAGTGCATTAGGAAGAGATTTCTGTATGAATATGGACAGGAAGAATGAGTACAGCAAGCAATCATGTTTTTGTAAACCCTTATAAATATCTTAATTGGAGAATTGGATGACTGAGTGCATGTGAAGGTGGCGACTGTGGGCTAATGGACACATTAAAGCATCCATTCTGGAGGGAAAGCAGGATCGATTTTGATGCATCCTGCTCATCACACCCTTACAAGGATCCCATTTTCAACAAATCCTCCCTATTTCATAATGGGAAATTGATTTATTTCAGTGTGTAAAGTTCTTGTCTTTCGCAGCAGAGACAGATCTCCAGAGAGCAGAGTTTATGGCAAGGTCAGGCTTCAATTTCAACAAAACACTAATGGAAAATGCTTTCAGAGGCATAATGTCTACTATTTCTGCATTAAAATGTCTAAAACCAACTAAAGCTATGGTATATAGTTTGTTGAGATGTCCCAAATGTTTCAACTATTTTCAAACTCACTCATTTTATTCAAAAAAAAAGATTATTCGCTCGTCAAAAGGCATCAAACCCGTTCACTCCTCGAGTTGCTGTAACTTATGGGGAAACCCGGAGTGGTGCTCCTCGTATCATCAAGTCCGCCTTAATCACTGTTTTGACTGGCAGGAATGACATACATTGCGATGACGGTGCGTAGGCGTCTTATCGTGAAAAAACCACGGACGTTTAAAGTCATCCTGCGGCGAGCTCCAACTTGCCTTAGACGAAACATAAACACATACATTCACACGGTACAAAAAGACCGCACACAGCCCTCAGCCCTGCAAACAGAGGGACACAAAGGAGGGAAATACTTGGGGGCACCCTGGAAGCTCACTTGGTAGAGCAAGTACCACATATCAAGGCCCTCAAGGACCACAGCGGCCTGAGTTTGAACCATCCCGGGCCCCTTTGCTGCAGGTCAGCCCCTCTCGCTCTCTCTCTCTCTCTCTCTCTCCTGCCTTTCCTGTCTCTAGAAAAGAAATCTGCATATATGGGTTTGTTAGATGCAAATACTCAAGTAGATCCTGAGAGAGGCCAACTGCACACTGGAACCGTGAAAAGTGAGAGTAAAAGACAGGAAACAAGGCACGCAAAGTAAAAACAAACAAGTAGCGAGGAAGGAAGGGTTGCAAACGACTGGGGATCTACAGAATACAGATAAAGAGGATATGGAAGAAGACAAGAGACAGACAGGAGAAGCACGAGCGGAGGGGGAGGCAAAAACACAAACATGCCATTCTTTGTTCTCAACTCATGGCCCACTCGTTTCTCTCTCACACACACACACACACACACACACACACACACACAGTGTACAGTGTTCACACACACCCCGCTGAATATAATTCACAATGCACACAGGCACGCTTGCTTAAAGCGTCTTCTGTATTCACCCACACACAAGCTATTCAACATACAGTACGCACCCATCCCTGCGCACAAAGTATCAATTTATCTCACACACACACACACACACACACACACACGGGAATTTACGACATTTTACACCACTTTTGGCCGCGGCTACGAGGCCCGCTGCACATCACACATTAAGCCAACGATGGGAAAAGGTGGGGACGTTTGCAGGAGCGAGTGTGCGTCCGTGTGCGTCGCCTCTTCAAACTCATTCACCTTTAGTCCTGTGCACGGTTCTGGAGGCTACACATGAGAAGAGTCTGAACAAGGAGCTCCAGGGCGGAGCTTGCAGCGCTACACAAGCCGGCTTGGATTTCACTTGGACCAGAGACATAGGGGTAGAGCATTCACGCAGACCCTCAACTCCATATTCCTCTGGCGCTTTCCATGGAAACCACACACTGTCGCTGCTGTCCAAAACACAACACATAACACAGGATCACATTTTATCCTTCTGGGCCCCCATTTAGGGAGCATGAGGTCATCAGGGTCCGGGGGGGGAAGCTGTAATGAAAGAATGGGAGGGCAAGGAGATGCTTCAAGGCTGGGAAAGTGACAGCCCACAAGGGGATGGGACGAGAGGAGACCAGAGGCCTTATGTCTGTGTCCTTAGAGTCCAAAACACTAGAAGATTTTAAAGTCCAAAGTCCCTGGAGCAGCCGGCAGAACAGGAATCCACCAGGAAGGCTGCTAGGTGAAAGAACCTGACTCTAATGTGGACTGTAAGCAGCCTGTAAGCAGCCCGTCAGCGTGTGGTTGGTCAACCTGCCACTCCCTGGCTGCTCCCAGTCAGCCACTAGGAACTCAAAGCAACATGAGACAGTTTAGCAAAGTCACTGTAGATCGCCTCCAACACCGGATAATTACCCTTTCACAAAGTTCCACCTTTGTTTTTCCCGGTGCCAGAACTTCAGGGACCGTTTGGCACTGCAGCACTTTTTAAAAAAAACAGGTATATCCGCTTCCAAAACCATTCCCCAAAATTGCAGGTTTGCAGCACAAAAGCACAATTCCCATGGCAGGAGAAGGGCCTTGTTTCTATGAACAAACTAATCCTGTGTGGTGTCAAACAGTCGCTGCAAGAATAATCCTATGGCGATTGGGAAACAAAGCCCTGCTCTCTCATGGTTTCCCGGTGGAAGTAGAGAAGGCTGTAGCTAGCGAGAGAGGAGGAAAAAAAAAAGAAAAAGAGAAAGGGAAAGTCCCAAACAAAGTCAGTGTGACTTTTCTTCCTAAGCCATGTCGTCTCTGTCCCCTGGAGTGTGGTAGGTGGTCACCGCTGCTGGGTGTGTGCGAGACAGAGGAAAGCTGAGCTCCAATGTCAGTCCAAACCGAGCATGCTCACTCACACCCTTCCCCTTTCTCTCCTCTCCCTACACAAACACATCACCCCTTCTTCTCTCCAAAACACATCATTTCTCTTTCACTTGATTCTCATTTTACGGCTCCACTTTGGTGTCAGTACTTTCTTGCATGCTTGCTCTGCTTTGAGCCTGCATATTTTGCCTTCTTTCTCCTTCATGCACAGTCTCTCTCTCTCTCTCTCTTTCTCTCACTTGTGTTTCTTTCTCTCTGCCCCCTCCCTCCACCCGGCTCTGTGGTTGTGCAAGTCTCAGATTTCATCCTGGTCTGGCTGCAGGCTGTACCAGCAGCTGCCCTCATTGACTCCATACCTCACTTTCTCGCTGCCTCTTCTTTTCATTTCCTTCTCCCCGTTTGCCACAGTGTGATGTGTGTGTGTGTGTGT